TAGATAAAACACAGGACACCTAGTTAAGTTCTAATTTCAGATAAATTATAATTTCTTAACTATGTATGTCCCATGTGATAATTGACACATACTCTATCAAAAAACAGTTTTAATTTACTAAATTTGGCAACACTAAGCTTAGCATTTGTTAAGTATGAGCTGATGTAGTAGTCTGTGTTTGTAACTCTCAGAGCTTAAACTACAACTGAACTTGTCCAGAGAATTAAACCCAAGGCAAATTCTGTAAAAAATGAAAAAAGAATTTGATGGTGTTCCTGGAATATTTCTTCCTGAACATTAATATTATGTTACCTAGTAGAATACCTTTGTCTTATGCTTGCCTATTAAACACTAAACTGATAATCCAGACATACAGTTTTCCAAAAACAGAAAGTTGAAATAGTTCTGTAGTTTTGTTAAATGAAATAAGCTATATTTAAATTATAAAGCTCTATCCCCCACACCAAATATCTTGGTGAGGCAGAATTTATGGAGTAGATAATGGGTGAACAAATTCTCAAAGACTTCTCTTTCAAAGAGTCTTCAGATAGCTCTAAAAGAAAGAACTCTTCCTTTTTTCTTTAGCTTGAGTGTTTTAATCACTTCAGTCTGAATGTTGTCAGCATACAGCCAGAAAGACCTAAAAGCATGAACAGTCGACATTTTAATATAGAACTGGAAAAATTTTTTTCTTATTCTTATGAACAATCTCTGGCTGTACAATCCCCCTTATCAAGTTCATAAATAATGCCTCATGTTTATGGAGTTATTCTATATCTGTTTTTGTGTCATTTTGTCCTAAGGTAGGAAAAACATATGTTTTTTGTTTTAAAAACTCTCAACCAGCAGCGCCTGAGTGGCTCAGTCAGTTGAGCACCTGCCTTAGGCTCAGGTCATGATCCCAAGGTCCTGGGATCAAGCCCTGCATCAGGCTCCAGGGGAACCTGCTTCTCCCCTCTCCCTTTGCCCCTCCACCCATTTGTGCTCTCTCTCTCTCTCTCTCTCTCTCTCTGTCTTTGTCTCTCACACACACACACTCTCTCATATAAATAAATAAAATCTTAAAAAAAAACAAAAAAACATCAACCAGACATTTCATGTTTTTGCTTTCTGTGGTAACTCAATAGCCTGGGTAAATTTTCTTTCTTTCTTCTCCTTCTTTTTTTTTTTAAGATTTTATTTATTTATTTGAGAGAGAGAGAGAGAGAGTGTGTGTGTGAGAGAGAGACAGAGAGAGCATGAACAGGGGGAGGGGCAGAGGGAGAAGCAGACTCCCCACCAAGCAGGGAGCCTGCCCGAGCAGGGAGCCCACCACAGGATCCCAGGACCCAGAGATCATGACCTGAGCTGAAGGCAGATGCTTAACTGACGGAACCACACAGATGTACCTCAATTTTTTTTTCTTTTAATCATTTTCCCTCCACTATCTTCTTATCAGAAACAGGCTTTAGATGAATAGATTTCACCATTCCTGGTATACTGTTTTTAATATACCATTTTTAGGTTAAAATAAAAATCTGGTAACTATGGAAAATATAACCCATAAGCAGAGTTCTAAATAATTTCCCAGGACTATATGATTAATAGGAAATTACTGGAAGATCTATTTAAAATGTGTGGATGATGAGTATTTGGACAGCTTTGCCAAAATTATAGAAGTAGCAAAAATAATAATCCTAATCCTAATCCAGTATCTATATACTATTGTAGTTTTAATGCAAAACAAAAAGTTACCATACTTTATATGCTATGCACAATCCTACAGTCCAAGAATAAATGGCAGAATTTCTTCCCAGTTTTTCTGTACTTGCAATTTAGTACCGCCTGATTTTCTACATAAATGAAGTTGTAAAAATATTTCCATTTCCATTAATTCATTTTCTTCTAAATTCCTGTCTCCATCTTAAATAATCCTCTCATTCCTTAGTGGCTCTAGCTGGATTCCTATCCATCTATCTGCCATCCATCTTGTGGTAAACAAGTCTTACAAAATGATTATCCCCACCTTGGGGTAGTTAAATATATATTAGATAATCATAAGAATGAAACCGTGTGTCTACATAAACAGCCTGTACCTTAGCAGTAGGTAGGCTAGTGTTAAGATAAATGACATCTAAGTTGCCAAAGGACCTGCTTAAACAAACCAAGAGACGCCCGTCATGTTGAAAGCACAGCTTGATAATAATATTTGATGGTGTAGAGGTGGCCAAAATTGTCTCTACAAACTTCCTTGAGAGTCACAAAGATGTAAAAGCCTACGACAATGAATAAATGGAGATGACCTTTGAAACCCTGTGTTATAATGAAAAAGAGATGTTAAACATTACTTAGTAAACAAATCCTATTTTGTTTTTTGGGTAGTTTTTTGTTTTGTTTTGTTTTGTTTTGTTTTTAAGGTCTCAAACACGCAAGTTCAAAGAGAAGAACCGTAATCATTATAAAGTTTACCAGATGCAGCAGGTTAACTTTAAAAAATTACATTGATCTAAACATATGGTAAACCTGCCAAGGGTGTTCCTTTCCATGAACAAACTACCTGGATTCTGGCAGCCCACACCCCTCTGCACCTAACAAGGATCATATCCAGCTACCCAATGCCTGATAGGCAGCAAGGGGGTACTGCTTTTAGATTAGGCTATTGAAATTTGGATGAGATTTGTTGAATTAGTCAAAGACAAATTCTCATTTACTAATGTTAAGGAGAGAAGTCAAGGAAGGAAAAAGGACAATTGATTTCTATTTTAAATTCCCTCAGAAGGAAATGACTCCCATTTGATGGAGTCATAAACTTCAGAACCAATTAACCCCTCTTTAAAATATATAAACCTAAAATATATAGTATTTTATCACATATAAGTATATATGTATATATATTTATATATGATATCTGTGATCTACTTTTAAGAATTTGAGTCTTTAAATGTTTTTACATTTTTACTTTGTCTTATAAAAACTTGTAAAATATTGCAATGGCCCAGTCTCATCCATGTCCCTGAGACGTATTGATAGGTTCTAGGTTCTTAATATCTCATTTGGAAATTAAATTGTTGTTTTTCCTTCTATGCAATCTTCAGTCTCCAGGAAGGCCAATTTTCCAAGGCAATTCAGAAGAGATAAGGGAAATAATCATCAGTAGGCTTGATGTTCTGTTTGTAAAATCCCTTTAAGGACACTCTTTCTAATCAGCTTCTCCTTGGTTCTTAGGGTAAAGGAAACTAACTTGAGTTCCTCCATAGGAAATAATCATTCTCTGATATTTCAAGAAAGAAAGCTGTAAGACTGGAGCATGCTAGTGTAAAATTACTGGCAGATATAGGGATGAAAAAATATTCTGTTTCTTCTCATAGATATTATTCAGGAAGACCAGCATCAATGAATACTTCACCTGGCTCTGAAAAGGCTGTCTGGATCCTTTGCACTAATATCCCTATGAAAACTTTTGACATTGTTAATCCTAAATCTGAGCTCATTATAGGTCTGTTATATGCATCATGTCTAACAGTTTACATTCAGTTATATAAAAAAGTACTTTCTCTCAGAAATAATACCTACCTGCTTACAGGTACTATTTCTGATTTTGTATACTTATTATTTTCATAATATCTAGTATGTCTTATGGCATTAAGTACAGTGATATAAATGTCCGTTTACTATTTTATATCCTATATTAGACCATATGTTCCTTGGAGCAAAACGCTTGGATGACTTTATTCATTATTGTAAGTCAAATCCATGACTCCTGACCTATACTGTTCATAGGAAAATTATATATACATATATATTGGCTCGATGATTTAAAAAATTAAGACAAAAAAACTGAAAGGATTATGAGAAACTATTGATATGGACTCAAGGCTAAAAAACAAATGGTATAAACAAAAAAAAGATTATAATTTAAAAAATAAAGCAAATCAAAACTTTATATTAAAGAATATGGAAACAAAACATGAAATGGTATTACCAGCAAAATAAAATAAATACAATTAAAACAATAAACATAAGATTCAAAAGTCTGTATATTTTACTAAGATTCTAAGGAAATGTCAGAGGGGGAGACAAACCATGAGGGACTATGGACTCTGAAAAACAAACGGAGGGTTCTAGAGGGGAGAGGGTGGGGGAATGGGTTAGCCTGGTGATGGGTATTAAAGAGGGCACATTCTGCATGGAGCACTGGGTGTTATGCACAAACAATGAATCATGGAACACTACATCAAAAACTAATGATGTAATATATGGTTATTAACATAACAATAAAAATAAAAAAAGATTCTAAGGAAATGTTGTTGAATTGAAAAAAAAGTTTATCAGACTGTAGAATAAAATACCAAGTTTAAAACCAGCAAGATGAAAGTACGATGAGGATAGATTAAAAAAAAAAATGATAGAACATAAATTGTTTAAATGCAAAACAAAAATCTCTTTTTTAAAGTTAAAAAAATAGTAGCAAATATTTTTTTAAAGATTTTATTTATTTGTTCGAAGAGAGAGACACAATGAGAGAAGGAACAGAAGCAGGGGGAGGGGGAGAAGGAGAAGCAGGCTTCCCACGGAACAGGGAGCCCGATGCGGGGCTTGATGCCCGGACCCTGGGATCATGACCCAGGCTGAAGGCAGACGCTTATTAAGCCACCCGGGCACCCCAGTAGCAAATATTTTTAAGATTGTTAATGCAAACTGAAGAGAAGATAGAAGTTACTAGAAACTGAGAATGAGAATCTCCAAAAGGCAGTTTTTGTTTGCCTGTAGGAAGTATTTTTCTTGTTCCTAGTTATCATCATTTTATAGCTTGAAAAATTACAGGTGATTCAGACTTGAGTTTTCATGAGTTTTGCTTTAGATGTTATTGTGAAGACAAACTTCATAGTCTGTTGATAAATGAAAATAGATTGACTTAAATCTATCCACATCTGTTTGTTTTCAAAAATGTGAAAAAAATGTTTGTTTGAAATGCAATGATAGTCATAATATTGGAAATCTTATGTATTTTTTCCCAACAGCCACTGAACTATGAGAAAAAGAAGTCATATACTCTCACCATAGAAGGAGCAAATACACATCTTGATTTCCGCTTTTCTCACTTGGGTCCTTTTAAAGATGCTACCATGTTGAAGATCATTGTTGGAGATGTGGATGAACCACCACTCTTTTCCATGCCTTCCTATGTCATGGAAGTCTATGAAAATGCCAAAATCGGGACTGTTGTTGGCACAGTTTTGGCACAAGATCCTGACAGTGATAATAGCTTAGTAAGGTATGGTATGCCTTAATCTTTTAGACATATAAAAATTTTTGTTGCCTCTCACAGTAATTTAAAAATGAATAAAAGAAAATGTGAAATATTTTATTTCCATGTTATTTTCTATTAAGATAATCAAATTAGAATATTAATTGATTTCTTGACTGAGTAATGTAGCGATGGGTTTCTGTCAAATTTAGAATACATGTAACTATCTCCTTGAATACAGTTGACCGTCATTAGCATGGCCTTGAACTGCACAGGTCTGCTTATAATACATGGATTTTTGCTTATAAGACATGGATTTTTTTTTATAATAGTGCTGCAAATGTATTTTCTCTTCCTTATGACTTTCTTAATAATGATTTCTTTTCCCTAGCTTACTTTATTGTAAGAATATAATATCTAATACATATAACATATGATATATGGGTTAATCGACTATTTACGTTATTGGTAAGGCTTCCAATCAACAGTAGGCTTAGTATTTAAGTTTTTTCGGGTCAAAATTTACACGTGGGTTTTCGACAGTGTGTGGGTGAAGGAGGTCAACACCTCTAAATCCTGTGTTTTTCAAGGATCAGTTGTATATTGTTGACCAGATAGATTATATTTTTCATTGGACTTAATAGATGTGAGCGTAATTGAATGGAAAAGTTATGTAGAAATATTTAACTAGAGAATTTTGAGTTCTTAGTGATAGGAAGTATAGCTATAGTACAAATTAAGGATTTGGGAATTATGCTCATCTCTGCCTCCTGGTTCTGTCACAGTAGTTGTGTGCATTTAGGAAATCATCTACTCTCATCTGTAAAAAAGAAAACATCTGTCTCTCAGAGTTATTGTGAGAATGCATGAAGCAATGTGCATGAAATGCTAAACAGAGTTGCTTGCACCTAGTAGTCACTCGGTAACTTCTAAGTTCTAAATTCCAAGGCAGCAGAGAGTGCTATTTAGAGAAGTACTTACTTCCTGAAGATGGAAAGACCAGGGTGGGAATTCTGGTGTCTGACTTACTAGCTGTATCATCTTCTAGTCAATCAAGCTTGCTGAATCTCAAATATATGAGCAAGGAATAACGATGTTGCATAAATATGTTGATAGAATTAAGTTGAATTGATATAAAATACCAAGCACAGTCAGTAAGTTCTCACTAAATAATATTTTTTTATTGTGGTATGCCATGCAGTAGTGATAATGAAAGCTTTTCTTGCATGATCAGAAAGGTCTTTTCTTTTTCTTTTTTTTTGGTCTCAATTATGATAAAATCAAAGGGTTGCATACTGGTACAAGGCTCTTTAGTTACCTTGTATTTATACCCTTGGGTAATCTTAAGGCCCTAGAAAGTTTGAAATCTTTAACAAATTTGTCTGCTTGTTCCTATCAAGTCCTTATTCTCAGATTCTTCAATTGTTATCCTTTTTAACAAAAGCTATTATGGTAAATATTCTCCTTGATATCTATGTTATGTTTATAAAGGGTTTCAATTTTCTTTTATATAAGCATTATTATTTCAGTTAAAAAAGAATTGTCTGCAGCACTCATGCATGGACAGAAACAATTTTCTGTGCACTACTGTATATATTCCACAATCCTAGTCCATCTGTGAGTACAAAAACAACACCTTGTCAATTGATAACCCCTCTGTCACACTTACAGCAAGAGTTAAGCATTGTTTGAAGTTTCAAGATAGGCAAACTATACAAAATAATGTGCATAAACCCAATTATAGAAATTGATCTCTGATCAAAGGGATGGATATTTAAGTCAATGTGTTTAGTTGTCAAATGAGGGAGAAGCCCACTATGCTTCATTATTCCATGGAATGCCATATTTCAACAATATTTCTGACACATAATAATAAGTAAAATTCTTCTAACAACATTAAAAACTAGAGCATTCTAAAAGATACTTATAAATGTGGCCATCCTTTATCAAAAGAAGACAATACACTTTGAGAAAAATGTTTCATGCTCTTAGTTTGATGTGAAAAGATTTGAGGAATAATGATAAGAGTTTCTTTTGAAAACTAAAGTTTGATATTAATGATGTATTCTGTAATACATTTTTACAACATAACAAATTTTAAAAACGCTATTAGGGGTAGAATATATTTTCCAAAATGGTAGACCAAAGGGAGGAAAAATTGAGGTCAGACACAAACTTCTTTCAGTGTTGGTCTATATATCCCAACATACACAAAAAGCACTTATTCCACAAAGAACAGTGGTTCTTACCCAAGGACAACACCACACAAACACCAGAGGATATTTGGCAATATCTTAAGGCATGTTTGGTTGTCACAACTGAGGGAGGAATACTATCACCTGTGGGTAGAGGCCAGGGATGCTAGAACATCCTACAATTCACAAAAGAGTCCCCACAGTAGAGAAGTAGCTGGTCCAAAATATCAATAATGCTGAAAATGTGAAACCCTGACACAGAGCAAACCAAACTGGGTTGCCCATTGGTAAAACTGAAGGAGTAATTATTCTCATGGAAAGAAATTCTGGAAATACATTTTTGAGGATTACATACCAGTATGTATATTTCACATACATGTATAGCCATGTGGATGTTTCAACATCTACAGTTCATTTAATAAAATAAGTTATTTATATGTAATTAATTGTCCCATGATATTATTGATTGCCTCTGTAATGGCTCTATATTATTAGAAGATTTTAATTGAACAGCTGCTATGTTATATACACTCTCCCAGTTTCTGGGATGCAAAGACAATTGGTATATTGTCTCCAAAGGCTAATATTGAGACATACAAATCCATTAGCATACGCATTATCCTTTTTATTTTGTTTTGGTTAGAACTAAAATGAATCCTTCCAATGCTGCCTTAAAATAACTAGACTCTATAGCTGCTGTTTGGAGGCATAATTTACATAATATTTATTCTTGATTTTAATAAAAAAGTGTCATTCACACGGGCCTCTAGGTGTAAACAGTGAATAAAAAACAGAAAACATTAACAAACAGAAAAGCAAGCTATACTTCCACCTTTCTCAGGCACTAAATGTTTGTACTAATTAAGGAAACGTACTTTGAAAAGATGTACCTTGCAATGTGCCCTGAAATGCAATTAACTCCAAGTTTGCAGAATTGATAATGAAAGGGAGTTTGAGTCTTACAGGCATTTGTGCAAACTTCCTGACTTCAGTCTTTGTGTTTCAATTTTCTAAACTATTAGTAAGATTCTTCAGATTTCTAAGAGCATACCAGGTCTAGCTTTTGTCTCTCTTAACTCTAAACAAGACTGTGCAATTTGTAGCAATCTAATCATCACCTTGTATTTTGAAAATGAAATCAGAACCAGGCTATTTACTAGCAGTGAAGAAACCCTTGATTTAAACAGACTGTACTCACTTGCTGGTATATTACAAATGGAATTCAGGAATTTCCTGAGTAGCTACTGAGAGATGAGCAATTCTATACTGGACATGAGAAGCTAGAGAGCTTTCTAGAAAGTGACTGTTAAAAATAGTGATTGTTCATTGCTTGCTATCTGTGGGCCAGGGGCTTTACATAGCATGCCAAAAACCCCTGTAGGAACCCTAAAGTGTCTGTATTATTCATCCCATTCTACAGATGAAGAATTGAGGGCTCAGAAAGTTAAGAAATTGGGCCCAGTTTCCATAGTGATAAAGTGGCAGACTCGGAATTTAGATCCGGTTTTACTTTTCCCCTAAAACCCTGTTTTTAACAATATTCCGCTACATCTTATATATCTCAACTAACAAAAACAACAATAAAAACTGCACTTATAGAAGTCATATATCATAAAGTAGGAAGCAGATGAATATTTTGCATGTTTAGAAAGCCATTAATTAAATGCCAGTACCTGGGATCTCGTATTCATGTAGATGCATTTCACACATGGGAAAAGGGATCTGAAGACAGTCAGGTCTTATTTTAACTCTAGTATCTCAAGAGCAAAACCGTTCTTAATTTTAGAGTTTCTTCATATTGTAAAGTCTAAGACATTAGATTTGATTTAGTACAACAAAAAGTCCTCAATTATTAATTATTTAAATTATTAAAGTCCTCAATATTTCTCATATGAGGAGAAGCTTTACTATAAGTTTATATGACTAAGTATTTCCCTCACATCTTTACTTCTTTTCCACTCTGTTCATAATCTGATTTTATCTGTACATTTACTCATTGTTAAGATTTTTATTTTTTTCTTTGTATAATAACCTTAAAGCAATCAGAGGAAATGTTAAATATTTTGCATAATCATGTCGAATGCTCATCATGACACTATTTAGGAACAGTAGCCTACTTACATGCTGACATAAGAAATAAAATTGTGATCAGACTTAGAAATATTTGCAAAAATAAAAAAAATCTTTCTAAAACATCTTAAAAAATAAAGACTAGTTGCAGAGAATTAGAAGTGTTTGTTCAATCTGTTTTGAGTTTAGTTGTAGTTTCAGTGAACAAATGCTTACAGTATATTCACCACGTACTTAGTGTTTATTTGTTTTTCCTATGCATTTCTGAATTTTCACATAGTTCGTGATGAGATGGGAGTTAGAATATTGCATTAATTTTGAATGCCATAACAGCAAAAAATTAGAAATACTTCAAAATAATGACAAGGTCATGTTGCAAAGTTGAAAAGTGGAATAAAACAAATATTTAAGAAGGTTTGCATGCAGGATTCATACTCTTGAAAAGAAGATGAAAAACTATCAAAAGATGTGTTTCAAATATATTCATGTAAAAGATCATTTGATACACAATGAGTTTTTATTCTATAGACAAAATTTATTTGTAAAAGTTTAGTCCATTTAAGTCACAAATACCTTAATTCGTTCCATAATAGCAAGCCTAATCCACCCTCATCAAAACTATCATGGTCTTCTAATACAAAGGAGACAACTTGGGACTCCCGGGTGGCTCAGTGGTTAAGCGTCTGCCTTTGGTTCAGGTCATGATCCCAGGGTCCTGGGATGAAGTCCCACACTGGGCTCCTTGCTTGGCAGGGAGCCTGA